GGTGTGCGCTTGTCGTCCATAGGCGCACCTGACGAGTAGCCGGATCTCTGTACTGACAGCAGCAGCTTCCGCACCGTCGTGGGGTCCCCCTGGCCGGGCGGGGCAAAAGGCTGGCGGGGATGCCGACTCAGCACTTCTGGCTTCTGGAGGTGGTCGGCCACTGCCCGGCGCAGCCTGTCGCTGGCTCGCTTGGCGTCCCAAGCCTGGCGCATGGTCAGCAGCCCGTGTGAGATCAGGACGCTCTCTGGCAGCAGTTTGCGGAGCTGCCATGTGCACGCGGCAATCATGCAGTCGCCGGTCGCGTCCAGGTCCGCCGCCCTCCATTGGCAGTCCTCGCAGCCGAGGGGCGGGTTGTGTTTGTCCTCCAGAGCGCGGGCCAGTAGCGGGAAGCTCCGCGAGCAGACCCCGAGCCGCTCGGACGGGCCGACGGTCGCGTAGTGAGCACCGGACGCGGTGAACAGGGACAGGGCCTCTCTGAGGGCACGGATCGAGTCCATCTCCCAGAGGCGAGCGCCATCCCCCCCGCCCGCTGGCCGCGGCCCGCCCGCGCCGCCGGCGTCGCCTCGCAGAGTCGCGCCTTGGGCCTCGCCGTCGTCGCTCCCCTTGGGCCGCAGTTTGCCCTCGGGTACCCGGCGTTCCTCGGGCCCGCGAGCATGATCGTGTGTGGTACTCGGAAGTGTCCTCAAAGTCGACCGTGAGCACAACGGCGCTCGCGTCCGCGTGCTCGCCCGTGTAGATGACGTGCTCGTCCACCTGGAAGCGGGGCTCGTCGAGCCGGGGGCCGGCGCTGTGGTCGTCCGCCATTACGCCGCCCTCGCCGCCGCCGTTGCCCTCCATGAGGACGACACCGCCGCTCTCCTCGCTCGGCGGCGGGGTCGCCGCCCGTGCGCCGTGGAGCGTGGTGTCGACGGGCGCCTCGGTATCATCGTGCTTTTGGCAACCACAAAGAATTTATGCACCAAGAATTTTAAACAAAGCTCCCTCGCAGGACACTGGGCACGGGACTGCGTGCTCAAAAAGAATTCGCGATGCTCGCGTCCAAAATGTATTCAGTATTGAGATTGCCTCCGTCCGGCACCGTTGCGCACTCGCCGGGCAGGCGCGCGCTCATTCATCATTGAAGGCCGCGACCAAGATGCAAGAACACATGTGCATTGCGCTTCGTGAGGATCGCGCTGCTCCTCACGCGCCCTGGAGCACGTAGGTCAGCCTCAGGCGGGTGGGCGACCGCCCGCTCCGGCTGTGCTTGAGCTCGTTGTAGCACCTAGGAATAGCAGAGGAGGCGTGATTGATGAGAATCTCTCTGTGGGGAAGGACAGTGTGTCTGAGAGGGCACACTGGCGCAGCAACACCTGCGGCGGCCGTCCTTCGCCCCGTCGCAGATGTACATGCGCTGCTCAATGATGCCCTCGAGAGCCGACCCGTCAGCCTAGTAGCAGTAAGCGCACTGTGTCAACTCATCCAAACAAGCGCGGCTCCCCGCACCCCGGACGAGTCTGTGGCGGCTCGTGTCTTCGTATTCGGTGTCGCGTGACTCACGGGTCTTGCTTGCTTGGTACCCTCTCGGCCTGCTTGCTCGAGGTGGTGCGCGAGGTGATGACCGGTCCCAAGTGCTCGATGCCTGTTCACACGCAGAGCTGTCAACCGCGTCTCTGTCTCGCCATCGACCCCACATTGACAGGCGTGAAGCGACGCCCTCGGCGCGCAGCGCCCCCGCGCCCTGCCACGCAAATACTGTGGTCGCCGTGACGCCGCGAAACGCCTTCTCTTCGGTCAGCCCGTGCTCGTACACGAACGAGAAGACCAGGCCCATGCACCGGCACTGGCCCACCAACACCCCCTCCTCGATGGAGTGCGACATGGGCGGGGCGGGGATGCGAGAGGCGATCTGCTTGATCACCCAAGGCACGTCGAGCGACGCGATGTACTCCTTCTTGCCGTCCTCGCGCTCCAGCTTCCAGCGGCCTGTGGGCACATGGGCATGGCAAGCAGCGTCGGGTCATGTGGTCAGTCTCGCGCCCCAGAATCCTTGTGTCACTCCATCTCCTTGCTACACACCAAGGAATGGCGCGAGCTCGAGTGGCGAGGGCGAACCGGACGCCGCCGAATCTGCCGGCGACTCGCTCGCTCGCGCCAGCCGCGCTGAATTCGCTTGCTCCTCCATGATGCGGACGGCGGCGACGGCGGTGAAGGAGGCGGAGAGCGAGTGGCGCTGTCGCCTGTCGATGATGGATGCACGCGCGTACTCGCGCGCCGCCTCCTCAGTCGCGAAGCCCTCGGCGAGACCGGTTAGGCGGCTGGACAGCTCCTCGAGCGTCAAAGATTCTTCGGCTTCCTTTGCCGTCGGGTGAGTCGCCTCGGCTGAGAGGCTCGGGTGAGCGCCGAACAGGAGCTGGTGCGCCACGAGCTTCAGTTCGCGAGGCGCGTTCGAGATTTTTTTGGAGAGGGCTGAGGATGGCTTCGACGCAGAGCAGCCCATTTTCAAAGCAAAGGGCGTGCGAGGCCGCCTAATTTGCTCGAGCGGCATCTTCTCTCGAGGTCTCTCGATCTTTTGTGTGAGCTCTGTGCCTTGATCTGCTTGATCTGCTAACAACGAACACAACCAGATAAAGAAATCGGGCGCGACTGCCTTCGCGGTGCGTGTGCAGCGCGTGCTCCTCTGTACGCGCCGCGCTCTCTTTGCGGCGCGCAGCGCCCCGCTAGAGCGGCTTGACGGCGAAAAAATGACTTAACGGCTTCGAGGTGTGAAGAGACGGTTCTCACACTTTTCGACTCGGATAGGGCTCGAGGCGCCGATTTGTCAGACGCCGTTCAGAGGGCGTGCTGCGCGTGTGCTGCGCTGCACGCTCGGCGCTGTAGCATGTCGCGGAGCGCCCTTGAGGCGGTGAGAAGGCGCTGGACGGCGTTCACGGCTCGAGGTGTGGAGAGACGATTCTCACACTTTTTGCTATGAACAGGGCCGCCGACTCATGGGAAGGCCTTCGTGGTGCCTGTCCAGCACTTGCTCCTCTGCACGCGCCGCGCTCTCCACGCGGCGCGCAGCGCCGCTAGAGCGGCTTCCGGCTTGACTGCGAAAAAATGACTTAACGGCTTCGAGGTGTGGAGAGACGAAATTCACACCTTTCGCTATGAATAGGGCTCGAGGCGCCGACTCATCAGTCGCCGTTTAAGGGGTGTCTGGCTCGTGTGCTGCACTACACGCTCGGCGCTGTTAACGCGGCGAGGAGCGCCTTTGGAGCGGCGAGAAGGCGCCGGATGGCGTTCATGGTGTCGAGTGTAAAGAGACGCCGTTCACACTTTTCGACTCGGATTTAGGGCTCGAGGCACCGACTCATCAGACGCCGTCACGGCGTTTGTCGCGCGTGTGCTGCACTACACGCTCGGCGCCGTTAGCGCGATCAGGGCCCTTATTGGGGCGGCGAGAAGGCGCCGGGCGGCGTCAGCTGTTTCGGCTAAGTCGTTTTGTACCGGATTTCAATGTTAGTGGCAAAACCGCGGAACCCGGAAAATGGCGTTTGATTTCGCGAACCTGCTGTCCGCTGCCTGCGGCGGCGCTCCGCGCCGCTTGGGGCGCCTGCGGCGCCCCTGGGCGCGCTGCGCGCGCCTGTTTTGGGGGGGCTACCAGCACCGAAAAATTGCCGCTTTTGGGGATTCTCCCGCCTTCCTACTCCTCTCTTGGATTTTTTTAGTGTCTGTGGCTCTTACGAACATACCCGAGGGTGAACTGCTGACAGGGTTTGCGATGAGGAGCGATCCGAACGTGGTATTCGGGTGATCAAATCACGCCGAAGCGCTTCTTAGCTGTCCCCGGCCCTGTGGGTGTGAGGCTGCCGTGTGCCGACTGCACTCCACAAGTGCTCCCAACTTTGCGTGTTTTCTCACGCTTGTAACATGTAAGTACGCAAACGACTTCTTTCAGAGAATCAAACCCCATTTGAGAACTTACTGCGTTGGCGGCACAAGTGGCGGCACGCCATACACCCCTTACACCGAGACGCCCCCGGCCCCGCGCCCCAGCGCGTACCCCAGGCGTACCCTGCCAGTGCCGCTGACTGCCTCAGGCCCTCACTCTCTACCGTTCTCTCGACCTCGCACCCCGAGGCGGGACTCCTCTCTCTGCGATCTCAAGGCTCTCCACATTGCACGCTAAGCACCGGGCCTCCTACTCGACAGTTTCGGCCAGTTGTACCTCACCGCTCTCCTCCAACGCCCCCCCCCCCCCCCTTCCCTTTCGGCCGACGCCGCGGCAAGCACAGGCCAAACATAAAGTCGCTCGGCCAACACGCGCGGCCGCGACGTCGCCGCGCGCAGCCCTGCGCACAGGTTGAGCTCCCGCCGTGCCGCGCTGTGAGCGGCCGCCGCACGCCCCTTGCCCGGTAGCCAGTCGCGACGCGGCGGCAAGCTATCGCCGTGCCGCACCAGTGCCGCCGGCTCAGCTGCCCTCAAACACCGCCCGAGCCTTCGAAGCCTGCGACCCCTCAATCGTCCTTGGCGGCGGGGCCTTGCCGACGGGCGCCTGCGGCGAAGCAAAGAGGTAACGGTCGCGTCCAACGCCAGGAGCCCCTTGAAGTGCAAACCCCGGGTGCGGCGCGCGCGCGCCCCCCCCCGCGTGTGTGTGTGTGTGTGTGTGTGTGTGTGTGTGTGCGCGTGCGTGCGTGTGTGCTGTGGGGGCAAAGGGGGGGGGGGTAAACCTTGCCGAAAAGCTCGCTCTTCGCGACCGATCCCTTGGGCGTGTCGACCCCGCCCTCTTGCCTCAGGGTGGGCATCGCCTAATCAATGAGTTGGCACTTCATTGCGCGGACTGAGTACTCCCCCCTCTTGTCTCGGGGTGGGCAATCGAAAAGGGGGGGGAGAAGGGGGTTAAAGGGGGGGGGGGGGGGGGAAAAAAAAAAAAAAAAAA